AACAAGATTTGATCCCATTGCTTTTCTTTTTTTTCCAGGCTCGGGTTATGGCAACGATTGGAGTGACCCGAGGACTGGGAGACCATGACCTGAAAGTGCACGACTCCAATATATATATCAAACCTTTCCTGTCCTCATCTCCTGAGGTAAAACAGCTAAGGTTCAACTATCTGATTTGTGGGAGACAGACAAATATTCTTAGTGTGCTTATTTGTTCTTCCCAAATTGACCATTCTGATTGTTGTCCAATTCAGGTAACATGCTGCCCTTCCCAAAGGGAAGTAACATCTACGTAGTAGGAACGTTCCAAGTTCCCCAGCTGTGTGCCCTGGCTGTAGTTGCTCCACATCCCTGGCAGAGCATTGATGCCTTCTCACTCCCTGGTCTATGGTTATCCCATAGCCTCGCCGTTCAGTGTGACAGATACCCGTCTCTCCCCACCTTCATGTGCTCTAGCTCCCCTTGAGGCCTAGGTCATGCTACCTTCACAAAAGCTGATGTAAATCTGTGTTCTCCAAAAGGGAGCACTGTATGTCTTCCATGGCAGCATAGTAACCTGCATTACACATAGGATACCAGATCAACTCTTAAGCTGGAAAATGCCAAGAGCAATTGGAAGAGTGCTTTATGGTTCTCTCTGTCTGCCCCCTCACCTCTAGTTCTTAATTCTTTATGGTGGTTTTGTGCAAACACCAAATAATGGCAGGAATGGCAGTGTGCATTCCCAAATGATGGCATAACGAGTGGATTATGCAGTATTTGTGTTGGAGTAGTTTTAAATGCCTCCATCATTCTGCCTTGCCTCACCACAAACAATTCAAGGTTTTGACCGCCAGAGACATTGTACTGAAGGATATCAAGCCTTCCAAAGGGATTTAAATGTATTCGTTAAGAAGAAACATGCAAACCTCGCTTTTTTCCCCTCTGTAACTGCATTCATGCTCCTACGTCAAGGAACAGATGACACATATTTTTCATAAAATATTTAGCAAGGGCAAACCATCTGATGACAGCACGAAAAAAGGAGGTTTTGCTTCCGTGGCCCAAATGCTGAGAGACGTTAACTGGCTTGCTGGAGTTTTAACCATACACAGTGTTCGACCTTGAATTTATTGCTTGCTATAGCAGTGCAAGAGAATGAAAATACACAAATGACATAATACTGCTAGGAAGGAAGCAAATTATTAAATTAACCTTGCTTAGAACATCTTTGAGACTTCACAAATAAAAATTTAAAAAGTGATTGAGAGATTCTGGCCCTGAAGAAAAAGGGGGAGATCTACAGACAGCCCCTTCTTTATGTTTCCTTGCTGTCAGCCCAGTACCTTCCCTCTTCCCGCCCTTTGAATGTGTGGTATCCCTCACTTGGGACCTGCTCCTGTTCTCAGCCAGGCAGGCAGCAGCTCTGTTCTCATCACTGTGATGGATTTGTTTAGTGCCAGCGAAATGATGCAATTCTACCTATTTATTTTTCTTTCTGGCATGCTGAGACCCAGTGTTTCTGGGGTATGTAATGGCTGCAGCACAGTGTCTCAGCAGCATCATCTCTGCCAATTGCTGCTGCGGTGTATGTCTGTGTGTATAAACCAAAGCTTCTCGTGGGCTTTTCTGATTTGTGTGGAGTCTGTCTGTACGTGTTCAAATTCTGGAATATGACATCCAGTTCATATGCTGTCCACGTTTCAGGATCTCTTAACTGCTTTGCAAAAGGGAAGCAAAATTGGCTTTGTTTCCACATTCCCTTCACAGCTAAATTCAGCAGAAATGTACGAAGGCAGGAGAGGGAAAGACAGAGCACCAGCCGCCTCAGTTGAGAGATACTGGCAAAAAAAGCCCTGAATCTTATTAGGAAGTAACATATGCTCCAACTTGCTTTCCATTGCACCTCCTTCTCTTAATCATCTCTTCCTTCTTTTCCCAGAGAGAGCCCCAGTGCTTTATCTCCTCATGTTTTTCCCTGACTTGTTCTGTCCATACATGGACAGTGCATCTTGCACAGAAAACAGCATTAAGAAACAATGTTTTTTGTGCTGCCATCTGGGAAGCTTGGCACTTGGAATTAAAGGCAGTGGCGTCAAGCAGCAGTCATATTTGGCCCTTGTGCAGCATGGGATTTCGAATTTTTTATATAGAGATAGGGGAATACAATGTCTGGTTTCCAGACCTGGAAAAGGGGAGGCACAGGAAATTAAGGTGCACAGTGAGTCGTGACAGAGGATCCAAGTCCCCTGGCTTCTGTTTCTGTGCCATAATTACAGCATCCTTTCCCAAGTTGGGGGCAACATGATGAGTTTTCAGAATATTTTACTTCCAGCATGACAAAGCTCTGATATGCCATGTCCACCAGAATTTAGCTCAAGGAAAGGTAAGCATCCCTGAGACTACATCCAGAAATAGGCATATAAAAGTAATTTGAGGGTGGTGTGAAATGATACTTTGATAGAGTGCCAGGCTATGGGAGAAGTCATGTAGCCAAGACTGACAAATGTAATCAGGATTCAGTGGCTCAGCTGTTATGAGACCAGATTTGGAGGACTTCTGCAGGTTGGTGAGCTCTAGAGAATTGAGCCTTTTATAATGAACTGGAGTAGCACAAAGCAGGCTAGCCATGGCTGAGGCTCTCTGGCATGGAATTAAATATTTATTTTTCATAATGGAACAGTTCATTTGAAAGCTTTCGGCAGGAAATTCTGCTTTTCAAAGCTCAGCAAGAGCCACCTTGTTGCAGCTGAAAAGAAGAATTTCATCCTGAAATTTTTCAAATGGCAGCTCAGCCGTTTGGTGGGAGAGGTGTGGCTTCACGGCAGTGTTTGACCCTTGCCAGCGATGAAGCTGAAGCCACCCACCACAGCAAATGATAAGAAGGTAATGAAGGAGAATTTTTCTCCTTCCATTATGCTAGTAAAATCTTTCTGACAACTCCACAAATATGTCAAAGGAGAATATTTTAGATTCACATCTGCCTTCTGGAGAAATCTTTAGGAATTACACCGTTTAAAGGAACAAGCAAGGCAAAAACTTACAGTAGTACAGTGTGATCAAAGGGAGTCAAGGTGGTTTCAAGAAGCAAACATCCACCTTAGTGGCTTGAAGTCCTTCAGGGTTATGTCTACCAGAGAATTAAAAAAAATAATAAATGCAGTAGATGGTCTTGCATGAGCATTTTGATTTCTCAGAAAATGTTTGAGAAACTGTTCTGCATCACAGGTTATTAATATAAAAGATATGAAGCTACAGACTAAGTGGAAAGTTGGCACAGTCTACTGGAAATTGGCTAAAGGGCAGGAAACAAAGGGTGGCAGTAAAAAGCTAAAAGGAGATTAATTGGTGAGTGCTGCAGGGAGCAGTGTTGGGACCTGCTTTTTATTATTTACATATAAATTACTTGGAGGGTGGTATTGAAAGATCTCGCTGTTTGCCAGCGAAGCTGCGCTGGATAACACTGCGCATAAAAAGGGACGATACAATTAAGAACGGGCTTAATTTATTGAAGTAGCTGAGTTGATCAATAGTGTAGGCGAGTGAATGCGGGCTGTTGTTTGGCTTCAGTTCCCCTGGGGCTGGCTGCTGAGGAGCACCTCAGGTGGCTGCAGGCTCTCATGTCACTCTGTTGTGAACAGTTTTCGAGCTGCAGGGACTCACGTTGGCTGCCTCTTAAAAACAAACCTGGCAAACAAGCCGCAGCGCCTTCGCAGAGCTGCTGCCGTCCTTTTCAGCAGCCAAACGCAGGTTTTGTCCTGTGGGTAGATCTGTTTGAAATGTAAATATAAAACCGACCCAGCTGTCTGTTGCTTGCCCAGAGCATTTTTCTCAGCGCTTTTGACTGCATGTAGGCGAGCAATATGAGAAACAAATACCTGGATTGAAGAAAGGCTTTATGTGACAAACTGCGTAACGCATGTTCAGAAAGATGTCATGTGTGGCTGTGTGCTCTAGCGGTGTGTATCCACTGTTACCTATCAGCAGAGATCTGTAAGTACCAGTCAGGATAAAATACAGTGTGACCCAGTGCTTATTGTCATAGGTGCTTGTGCTGCCAAGGTCCTGGTACTCCTTCCTTATAGCTGGCTTTTAAAATTTTCTGGTTGCTAAAGTCAGGTTTAGCTAGTGAACAGGTCAGCTGCTCTACAAGAAGACATCAGTGGATAGTAGAAGTACGGTGACCAAACTGGGCTCCTTTGACAGCTGCTCTGACGCTTCAGAGATATTGAAGAGTGAGAAAGTTTGCCAGGACAGCACAGGAGGCAGAGGACAGAGCACAGGTAGCCCAAGGTGTTTGGGGCAGAGGACACAAGTTCTGGGGGGCATTATCAGGATTGACATCTGGCTGCAGAAGCAAGGAGTCATGAGGGAAAGACTGAAGATTCGGGGTGGAACTGATAGGAAATTTGTCAAGGGTGCAGCACCAGTTAAGGAAACCGCTGCACTGCTGGATGGTATCTGGCCAGCCATCATCTGCGTGAGCGGGGCTATGTAATACTGTTTCACAGTGCGTGCAGCTTTGTACAAACTTATGCCGCAGGCAGAACATTGCCTAAACTTCACTGTTGTTTAGTTTCCTGAAATACAGCTACAGAAAGGAGGTGGTCATTAGGTAGGTTGGCTCTGGAATTAAAAAATAAAAATCAAAATCAAAAAGCAGTAATCTCCATTGGAGGCAAAGAGCTGTTTTCGGTCACATAATATTTACAGGGCTGTGGGGTTGCTTGCTGTTGCAGGCACTTAAGTAACTCCCCGGATCTCTGCTTGTCTTTCTGAAACTCCGGCATATCACACTCCCTCACCTTTTTTGTACCGTGTGCATGGAACATGCTGTGGGGTGTTGCCCAGCATGGGGTATTGCCCAACATGGGGTGCGTGGAGTGGGTATCCAGTGAGCTCTGGTGGTCTGAGCATCTATTACGTGCGCCTTGGTGGTGCTGCCCACCTGTGTGCCTCTGGCAGCTCTTCTCTCACACCGCTCCGTGTCCAGCTCAAGGCATGCGTTGCTACTGCAAGAGACTCCCACTGAAAATAAGAACTAGAACAAAGCTGCTGGCAGAAAAATGAAGGATTAGGAGCTGGCTCGTTTGTGAGCCTGGGCAAGGCAGTCTGTGAGCAAACCTGAACCTACAATAGACTGGACAGCTCTAAATTAACTCATTTTTGTCAGCAACACCCTAAGAGCACCTGCAGCTGTATTTTAGACGTCTGAGAAAAGACAGAAAGAAAAAGCTTAATTTTCTCTTAAGTATTGTGTGGACATGGCTGCCTTGATGTCTTGCTGCTGCAGTATTTGGCAGACAGACAAAGCTGCATTTCAGTGAACATTTTCTTGCAAGTGCTACCTGATCCTTATATACAAGAATCTTACCTGAAGTTGCCCCAAGCTTGCCTCCAGTAAGCTTGGCAGTCTTTTGCTTAGCCTTGGTACCAGCCTAGCATCCCTTATTGCTCACTCCACTGCCTTTCTCTGCACCTCTTCTGACCTCTAGTTCCTTCACAATGGTACCCATTTCTGGAGGTGCTCAGTTCACAAAGCTTTTGCTTTGAGGAAGTAACTATTTTGTTCCCAGATTACCCGTAAAATCAGTGATTGCATTGTTTCTTTTCCCTTTCCCCAAAAAAAAAAATATGTTCTTGGTCAAATGATCTGTTCTTGGTGTTGCTCTAGCATTGTGCGACACCAAGGATTTGGACCTTTTGACTTGTGCATTTGCTGCAGGTGGCTTTGACAAGTTTCTTACACACTCTGGTGCCGCTCCCCAGTCAGACAAGATTGTTCATTTCAGGAGGATTCAAATCAGTGATGCATGGTCTTGGTTTCCTGCCTTCTCCCCCACCAACGCTGTGAAAAAGGCTCTTGTGTACTTTGCCTGGATGGGAGAGCCATGGTAGACGTGTTTTTCTTAGTGCTGATGTTTGAAGTTTGTTTTTTCCTGCAAAGGGCTTGCTTGCTGAGCACATCCCTGAGCATTAACCCTGATGCTTTCTCAAATATTTGCCCATACCCAAGAGGTCTGACCAGAACATGTACTCCTTATTGATAGCTGTATTGGCCAACTTACCCCCCACACCACAGTGATTTCTGAGTTGAAACCCTGGGCTGTTATAGGCTGAACTAAACTTTGGGGAATGGGGACTATGGCAACTACTGGTTTCTGTGCAATGGGCTTGAGAGAAGAGCTGTGCTATACGCAGGGATCTATAACAGTATTCCCACTCAGTTGGAATAAGGAGATCTGCTCTAATGAAGAGAGTATCTTGCCTTGACTTTAATCCTCTCCAAAGTCCTTATTCAGCTGCTCCTGTAGATAATGAAGTGAAGGCTACATTTTCCAAATGACCTTCTTGTGCTTTTGAGTGAAAGATGAACAAGTAAGGATTAGCAGTCAGGTCTAGGTGATTTTTTTTTTTTTTTCCCCTCCAGTACTCTTGCAGTCCCATAAAATCATAATTACATTAAAAGGTCCAGCTATTTTATGTGCATTGCCTGCTTCGTGGTTCACTAAAGGGAGAATGCACCAGGAGGGCGAATAAAACAGCTCGTATTTTCTAGTTCTGCCAAGTGCTCGTCCCAACAAATTTCCTGACTGCCGCTGCTGTTAGTGGAGCCCAAGGCCGGCGCAGGGCGTGTGATGAGGTGCACCATTTCCAAACTTCAGTACAGATGATCGTTTCTTCCTGTCTGTGTTGCCAAGGTTGTGACACTTCTTTCAAACTGTAGTTGTTACTGTGGTAATTAAAGTGCTCTATGAGTGCTTCCTAACGGCTCCTCATTGCAGCCTGGGAATCGCAGGCGGTTTGTCAGCCAGATTGCAGAGTGTGCTGGAGGGACAGTTACACCCAACTAAAGGGTCGTTTTAAAACACTTCCCATGACCTTTTCTCATATTCTGGCTGGGCTGATGGCCTGCCGGCCCGCCCGGCATCTGGCCCCTCTGCTCCTGCTTTCCGCGGCCTCATCAGGAAGAGGACGGTGGAAGTCGCCGTAAAGGCAGGGTGTTACGGAGATGCCAGCAGCAGTGCTCAACCTGGCTGTGGCTGCAGACTGATGAGGTGAAGCTGGTGGGTATTGTAACCGTGTGGAGAAGCTTGGAGGTTCACTCTTGTGCAGATCTCGAATCGGTCTCTACCCTCTGAACTCCTTACAGATAAACGTAACCGAGCAGGTAAATGGTTTCTCTCCATTTCGTCAAACTACTCGCTGTCGTGGTTTAGCCCCAGCCGGCAACTAAGCCCCACGCAGCCGCTCACTCCCCCACCGTGGGATGGGGGAGAGAATCAGAAGAGTAAAAGTGAGAAAACTCGTGGGTTGAGAAAAAAACAGTTTAATAAGTAAAGCAAAAGCCGCGCGCACAAGCAAAGCAAAACAAGGAATTCATTCACCGCTCCCCATGGGCAGGCAGGTGTTCAGCCATCTCCAGGGAAGCTGGGCTCCGTCACACGTAATGGTTGCTTGGGAAGACAGACGCCATAACTCTGAACGTCCTTCCACACCTCCCTTCTTCTTCCCACAGCTTTATATACCAAGCATGACATCATATGATATTCGGTATGATATGGTATTTGGCCAGCCTGGGTCAGCTGTCCTGGCTGTGTCCCCTTGCAGCCTCCCGTACACCCCAGGCTGCTCGCTGGCAGGCCAGCACGAGAAGCTGGACAGTCTTGGACTGCTTAGCAAAAACTGAAAACACCAGCACATTATCAACATTTTCTCATTCCAAACCCAAAATACAGCCTCATACAAGCTTCTACGAAGAAAATTAACTCCATCCCAGCTGAAACCAGGACACTTGCCCAGGCATAATTCTTGAGTGTAGTGGCTACCTCAGGCATCGCATTCATTTTTCTAGACCTTCGGCAACACAGGCATTTCCAAACACGTGCAATTTATCTGTTAGAGTTAAATAGATCTGGACAAATAGTGAAAACAATTATTTGTGAATATTTTATTATAAAATATCAAAAATTCATCAAATAAATTATTCAGCTTCCATATGACTAGTCCTGCCAATGATAGGGAAGAGCCTCACACGCCGAGCCAGGCTGCTGGGTGGGGGAGGCTTCAAGCACTGCTGGCAGCAAGCAGCGTGGTGCTTTGCAGCCTTGCTCAGGAACACTTGCATCCATCCTGGCACCTGAGCTGTGCCGAGCTGAGTTGGGGAGAGTTGCTGGCTCAGGGAGAGTTGCCGGCTCAAGGGCTAAACTGGAGATAGACCCCAGCAAGTGTAGGAGAGGTATTTCAGTGCCCTGGCTGAACCTGCTAACTCACAGCCAAACTCAGCAATGTTTCACAAACAGGTCAGACAGTCTCTTCCTTCATGAATGTCTCTTGGGTTTTTTTTTGTTTTAGGTGAGAGTCTACGACCTGCTGCAGTATGAGCATGGGCCAGATGATGTTCTGATCCTAGCTACTGATGGACTCTGGGATGTGCTGTTAAATGAAGAAGTGGCAGAAGCTGTCACTAACTTTCTACCAAACTGTGACCCTGATGATCCCCACAGGTTTGTGCTGATCCCTGGCTTTCTAGCTTCTCTGTGGAAGTGAGAGTCCTTTTTGGTGACGTAGTTTAGTAGAAAGTATGATATGAATAACAATCAGTAAAGATGCGGCACTTTTTTTTTTTTTCTGTTACAACTCCGAATTGCCAGCCTTCAGAGGAAAAGTTGTGGGGTCACAGTATCTTGGCAAGGGATCCATTTTGCTTGCTCTGCTAGCTCCTGTGGAAACTATAGGAGGCTGAGGTCTTAGAAGAACATGGCAACAGGTCTCTGTCTCCAGCAGTTTTCCACTTAACTCTCCTGGATGGTCCTTTAACAGTAAAGATTGTTGCTCACTAGGACTTCATCAGCATATACCTCCCTCTCTCTCGCTGTATGTATAAATACTGCACAGAGTAGTTCCTCATTCCTGGTCATGCCGTGACTTTTAAACCCACCTTCAGTAGGGGATGCTCAGTGCTGCCAGCTACAGGACAGGTGTGGTGACAAAATAGATGAAAATAGATGGAAAGTCCGACTCTATTTCCTTTAGTTGAATTCTGTTGCATTTCACAATTTTAGCCTACCTCATAGTTTTCATTTTCCTGTCTTTATCACCTCTTACTTGATCAGTTGCTCTCTTTAAAACATACCATCCAGCAAACAAGTTCCCAAACAACTAGCAAAAGCGCTGCCTTGAGTGAGTCCATCAGTCTGTTGCTGGATTCAGTGTCACCATGAATTAAAATATTAGAGATCAGAAGTCTCTCGCTTGTAAAAGGGAGGACTGTGAAAGTTGAAAGAGCTTTATCCTTCCCTAGGGACTGTTCAGGAAGGGAAGTGTGTGTTGCTCCTGAATTCAGGCCTGTCTGTCGCTGTCTTCTGCCCTTGCCCTGGGCTGAGAGTGAGGAAGAGAGCTTTTATGCAACCTCAGTTGGCCTGCGGAAAGCAGAGCTTCAGAAATAAGCTCTGGGATATCTCAGCATCCAAGTGAAAACATGCGAGAGCTCAAGTTACAGTTGTTTAGATGCGGCAACTCTTGAGGACAGAGGGAAACCCATCTCAAAATGACTGGTGTTTCTCATGTTTCTAAGTGGTCATCCTCACAGGGTCAGCCCTGTTCTCCATCAGCAAACAACAAAGGTAACTGGAACCCCCTGACAGTCACTTGGGTTTTAAAGTGAGAGCAGCTCCAGAGTAACTCACAAGCAGTATTTTCTTGCTTACAAAATATTTTCCGCTTACAAACATAAAATGCAAAACAAGGTTTTGCTGCAAGCAGTCAGTCTTCAGGTGAATGAATGGTTAGCATGAAGCTGCAACCGCAATATTTTGACCTTCTCCACCTCCTTGCACTGAAGAGGACATGTGGTATGAATGACAGTCAGGGCTGTCTTTACTTCAGCAAGGCATGGAAGTGTCCCTGCCCTCTCTCCGGGAGGAGATCAGGCGGGATTAGCGAGGGGCCCTTCCAGGACATCTGGCCCTTGCTATGCAGATATGCCATTAATTTAAGGTAGGAGAAGATGCCCCACCCAGTCCACTTCCCATTATTCCCTAGCACTGTCCAGAAGTGCTAGGGAGCTTTTGCTCACATTTCTGCACCCCTGACTCTCCTCTTGCAAAGGCACCCTGTAAAATATAATACCTCTGCCCTGCTCTGTCTCCATTCTCATCTAGTAATTGGGAGAAGTTGTCTCTTCCTACCATCCTTGCTGGTCCTGTCTGTTGTGAATATAGTCTGGGTGTGTTGTGTCTGTCTTGTTCCTTTTGGTCTTTCCAAAGCTGGTGATGGCCACTGCGTTTGCTGCAGTAGGAATGGGAATTCTATGTTTAATCTTTTGACTTGCTAGGTGAGTAATTTTTCATCCATTATAAAACAGTCATAGAAATCAGAGACACTAAAGGGAAAAAAGAGATTTTTGTTTCATTTAGATTTGTTTGTGCTGGTCTAGCCCCAGTAATTGTGGGGGATTAGTCCCTGTTCGTGCCAGCATGAGTGCAACACGCTCCAGAACTGGGCCTACTGTATTATGGGTTAGAACAAACACATTTATTAGTGTTTGACCTACTGGTCTATGAATGGACATCTGAATTGAAAATTAATTTGTTCTTTTAAGTAACTTTGTGCCAGGTCATTTAGAGGCTTACAAATGGTGGTGGCAAGACATTTCTCATAGCAGCTTGCAAAAGGTAATTAGAGCAGTCCCTCATAGTTTACAATGGTATTTATGAAAATTACCTTTGTGGAATTGCTCTTGCTGCTTAATTGTAAAGAATATTTAAAGGGTTTAAAGTACTGTGTGAGAGGTTTTATGTAATTACTTCACAGTGGTCCAAATGAGGTATAACTAATGAATTTACAATAGCATCGCAGCTCAGACTGTGGAGCTGCATTCATTGCTCTCACTAGTGAGTGACAGGAAAATCTTGTTTGCAGTATTATCAGTGTTACGTTTAAAGGAAATAATATCCCACAAAATGTCAGGTTCTGTGATGGGTGTAGCAACATAGTCTGTGGTGAGGTGATCAGCTGGAAATGTGAAATCTCCAGGGATGTAGAAAACTTCTCAGAACGTAAGAAAGAGACTTGCCCCCTGGATTTGGTAATGCTGTGGTCTTCTGGAGAACCCACCTGTGGAGCAGACTCTGGATCCACCAGACCCAGTAGCCTACTTATTCCCTGACAGCAGCATATTTTAAAAAAAAAAAAGCTAGGGAGGAAGATTTTAGAGCTGCAGAGTACTTATCTGTTACGTAATTAGCTCTTTGAGGGAACAATATCCTTCCCATTTGAATTAGAAGTCATTTTATAGGCTGATGGGTAAGAGCTTACAGCCCTCAGCAATGCTCTTGGGACTCTCTCCGGCTGATACTTACTGTCAGAACTGTGCGTGTTTGTTACCCACAGAAAAACATTTTTGAATCCTGTCAAACATAACATGTCCAAGTGCAGGGAGAGCAAAGTCCTGGGGTCTGTCTTCACCCAGACAGGCAGACACAGCCTCAGGGGAGTTGGGCAGCAGGTGATGGGCAGCACAGGCTTGATTAGAGAACAGTTCCTCCATGAGGGCGATGGAGTGAAGAAGCTCGGGTGGAGCTGGATTTCTTAGCCAGCTCATCTCTTACGGGTATTGTGGCAGACAAGAGCCTGAAGGGGACCCTGAGTGGAGAACAGGTGGTGGTGACACACTGCTGCTTTCCGTACGTCATCTCTCTGAAGAGGTATGAAGATAGAGAAGCATGACTTGCCCATTTCCTTCAGATGTGCTTATGCAGGTTTACCCACTGACCTTGGGAATCTCTTATTTTTCTCATCCTCCCTCCTTGTCCTTTCTTGTTCCTTCTCACTCTCTCTCACCACTAGCTAGAGATTTATGAGGGTGCTGGGGATTTTCTCCACCCCTGCTGGGTGTGAGAAGATAAGAAGCTGCTCAGACAGCAGCATGTTTCCCCCACTGTCACCATTTCTCCTGCAGTACTTTCACTGATCAATACTGAAAGCTTCAGCAGAAAAAAAAAAATACATATTTATTCTTAAAACAGAAAAGTTGTATTCCAGTGAGGCTGTTCATTAGGAGGAAGTGGATACTTTAAAACTACTTCAGCAGTTCTCTAATGCTGTCTTGACAGCTGAATCCCAAGTTCACAGCACTGGAGAATAAAACATTCGGTAATGGACTGCTGCTGCTATTCATCTCCAGGTACAAGAGACTCACCCTATCTTCTCTAGTGCCAAGCTGAACAGCATCACTTCAATTCAGCTCCACACAAGGAGAGGAGTATGTTACCTTGCTGCTGCCTTCACCTGTTCCTTCTCCTTTGCTTCGATGTGCCCGTTTTCTTGTGTATTTCACAGTCTGACTGAGAGAGAATTTCTGGTATATTAAAATTCCTTTTTTTTTATCTTGCCTTCTCCAAACATGGGCAAAAAAGCTTTATACAGTCAAGAGCAATACTCATTCCTTTGTAGTCTTTAGATGTGGGGAGCTCTTGTTAATTAGAAAAAGGAGGAAGGCAAAGTTGTCTCCCAGAATGATGGGTGTTTTCTTCTCTTAAATTATGACAATAGCTGAGAAATCCTTGGAAAAGATGTTATAGCCAAAATTCACTCAGCATCAGACATGCTGTGAATAAATATTCAGTTTCTTGCTTGCCACGTGGAGTCCTTTTGTTCCTCAGCCCTGCATCTGATTTGGGAGCTGGGGAGTCCAAGTATGTATGTTTGGGTTTTTTCCCATTAGAAACTACAATTTCATATTGCATTAGGACAACAGGGGCAGTGCTGCTTTGTTACATCCTGCCGTTGTACCTCGAGGTCGTTGGTACAGACTTATCTGGAACCTGTGGGCTGGCGTGTGTGCCAGCATGTGTGTTAGTTCATGCCTCGGGCCCTTCTCTTACTGCAAGAAGTAAATCTTCTGTGAAGACTAGTGAGGGCTGGAAATTTTACCTCTCGGTACCATTAGGAGCAAGGGTCTGCATTGCTTCTGTACAACATTACTTGGAGTTAACATCAAACCTTTTGGGTAGTCAAATGTTGGTTTGTTTGCACTGAAGAAATCTTTCTAGTAGAGCAAATAAATCTATTCCTGGTTCAAAGGAGTCGCTTGAGTTTAAGGCACCAAAATTGTAGAAACAGAACGTAATTGGGGTTCTTTTCCTTCTTTTATCCCCAGAGAGTGAAGAAAGTCTCTACCGATAGAAATTCCCATTTAATAATGCATTCTGTGGTGAAAATGTCTGGGGTTAGAACAGTCCTGGATACTCATTTAATAAACTTCCCCCACACACACTGCTTCTGATCAGTGGAGATACTGTTCTTTCCCGTTCCTCAGATGGGATCTGGGCAGATCATTTCTGGCCAAGGATCCTCCCTGCAAAAGGGGATCTTGAAATGCAAACACTTTCTCGTCCTTCCTGTTTCTGGAAACTACAGAGGTGTGCTTTGCTTCTGCTGGTCTGTGTGTTTGGCTTCACAGAGCACTGCATCATCTTGGAGGTTGATGCTTATGCTTCAGATAAAACACAGGCAGGCATAATGTTGAACTGTTTTTTCTTGTCAATCTTTTAAATGTTTGATGAATTTTTAATTATCAAATCATAGAAAAGCTTGCCTCCACCCAACCAAATTCAAAACGTCTCAGCCAGGTGTTGAACTGATAAAGAAAAACATGTGACCGTAGCTGTTCACCCATAATGAGATTTCTTTCAGAGGAGACATCTAAATGAGTACACAGATGTGTTGATCTAGTAACAGCAGGTAAAACAGTAAGGGAGAACACATCAGAGCACATGACAGAGCACTGTCATGCACCACCTTTTGGACTCTGACACCCTTCTGCCCCCAAGCAGCATCGATTATTTTATCAGGGCAGAAAATAACTCCCATAAATCCAATGCTGCTCAGCCCAGCACAGGCTGGGAGTTTTGAAGGAACATGAAACTTGGTCTTTCACTAAATTAAGCACTTGACAACTCACATGCACACAGTTTTGACTGAATTCATAAATGTGAAAGAACTGTGGGACTCTGTCAGTCTGGCTGTATTAAATGTAAGTTTCCTTTTCCAGTTTCAGAATAAAAGAGATTTAAAAATCATTCCTATGGTCAAGGAAAACAGACAAGTTAGTCTGCTTGGTTTAAAGTGTAATTTGGATTTTATTTTTAGTGCTCTATTACTTACTTTCAAATTGCTTGCTTTGTTATGGTTTGTCTCTGAAGTAGTCAAGCCATGTTTACCTTCAAGTGTATTAGTGAACAAAGGTGTAGTTTCCAACAGCAAGTTGTGTTATTTGGGGTCCTCAATTTTTCAGACTACTCCTGGAAAGCAAATTTGTTAAGGCAAGTGTGTTAATATTTTTCTGAAAACTGGTGAAGCTGGGCCCCCAAAATGACCAGTGGCTTTTCGATCAATTGGTACCTGTCAAATACCTTCAGATTCTGATGCAGGAGCTGTCACTGAACTGGAGGGGGTTGCTTTGTGGCTATACCGTGGTTTGCATTTCTCCTGCCTGCTTCTAAAACGCTGGGAAGCTTGTGCTGGTAGCTTACAGCAGTAAATCTGGCAGGCTGTGAAAACCCACTTTCCTCATGAAGACGAGCACTCCCTGGCTGTATTCTGCCTTTTCCACAGGTACACGCTGGCGGCGCAGGACCTGGTGATGCGAGCCAGAGGAGTGCTGAAGGACCGGGGCTGGCGAATATCCAACGACAGGCTGGGCTCTGGAGACGACATCTCTGTCTACGTCATCCCTTTAATACACGGGAACAAGCAGTCCTGAAAGTAGCATCAAGAGTGGTTATAGGATGGGGATCTTTTTGGGAAGAGACAATATGTTTTTGGTGATCTCACCAGGACACTTCCAATTGATGTAATCTATTCAAAACTAATGCGGGAGGGGTATTTTTCTGCCCAAAAGGTAGGGCTCTGCACATATACTGTATATGATTAAAGATAACCCTTAAGATTACAATTTCCCTATAGAAATGGTTTTGGTGCTTAACAGGAATGGGATTTAAATGCTGCTAGCATATTATGGATTCTGTCATCCCTCCAGGTGGGGAATTATTTTTTTTCTCTGTTTACCATGTAGCTTGGAAGAGCCATTTCAGTTGTGAAAGAAGTGGGTATCAGAAGCCAAGAAGGCTCCTGAAATCTATGCCCAGGTATTCAGAAGGTGACTTGGGTCACATCACATTTAAAAATACCTATATATACATATATGAGACTCAAGAGTTTTCTTCTTTCAGAAAGTTGCATTCATGACTTACCTATGGACAACTTCAAACTTGTGTAATCCTTCGAACCCCCATTTTTCTCCAGTCTCTTCTTCAGTAGGCTATACTCCTGTATTTTAGTAGGAAAACTAAAGTTGTTTTCAGTGTGACTATGCCTGTTTACTGCAGCTAAAACAGCCACCTGCAAAACTGTCCGGGAGAAACAGGTCACAGTCCTGTATGGCAAGATACACTCTGGTGTGAGGAGTTATTTGTCAAGCTTCCGTATTGTGTGTATACCATGATTATACAGAGTACACAAACTCAGCTTTCTGTGACATTTACGTGGAGGCCATGGTTTCTTTGGGATCAGAGGTTTTCATTCACTGAAGGGTTCTGCCAGCTTTATCCTGTTGAAAGGCTCCCTGACCATACAGCTTTTGCGTCATTTGAGATTCAGTAAATGTATTTGGGCTCCTGAGAGTATTTTTTGTTGGATTCCTACCTGAAGTGGTGGTACTGTTCTTGTTATCAGTTTGGATACCCAGACAGCGATTTACTTAAAAGTCGTTTCACTTCTTCCTGCCTCGCTTACGCAGTATACCTTTCCCTGCTTGACTTGGTGATCAGAAAGTGACAGCTTATAACTTTGTCCTCTTGGTATTGAGGACTGTAGTCAAGGATCAAAAGGTCACTGTGATAGATACAAGCCTTTGTCTAGCTTCAGCAGCTTTTTTCTTAGCAGTGGTGAATCAATTTGAATAAAGAAAATCTAAGTAAAACATTATCAGAGTAAAAGTAATAGTACAAGAGGGAAACAACTGAGCAAATCTGCAGCTTACCCTGGCTGCCTATTCTTCAAGCGGGCAGCTCTCTTGACTTCATTGTCAGGAATTGAAGAAAAAAAAAAATGTGGAAGGTTCTAGTGTATAGGCAGGTATATTGGCTGGGGAGCAAAGTTCAACCTAATGTACCCCCTGACCGCCGCCTTCTGGAGCTGCTCATCTGGCTTGTGTTGGGCAGCCAAAAGATAGGGACTGACATATTGTAGGGCACTGACAGGGCAGCTCACAAATATTACGTCCTTTCCAATGGAGGAGGAGGATGCTGTGCCCTTTGCAAACTTTCTCCTGAACAGGCGTCGCCTAGAGCTTGCCAGTTTTGTAATTTACAATGTGCTGTGTAAAGCCCACGCAGCGCGTGCGCAGCGTCGCTGCCCAGGTGCTTTATTTGGTTGCATCCGGAAGTACATGTGCAACGGTCTCGGTGGATTTAAACTGCCCTTACTCTAAATCTCTAGACCCAGTAGGAGTTTCAGGGTGAGAGGAGGCGATGCAGGGTGCATAACGGCTCAGACGTGCTGCAGTCTGCATGGGTGTAGCCTGGAAACCATTCCGTGCATTCCCCAGTGCCTGTATGTGATAAAGCTCTGCAGAACGCGGGTGTTTTATATTCTAGAGCTTCAGCATAAATCACTGGCATATCTGATTATGTGTTGTCATGCTTTATCTATTCTTTCTGTTTGTTTGGTTTTTTTTTTTTCCTTTTTTTCTGTGTGCAGCTGGGTCAAGAGAGAGGTTTGGAGTCTGGAATATTTTTCACGTGGCCCCTCGTGTTTTAAAGTTTAAGCAAGAGATCTTCTCCTGCACTTTTTTTTTTTTGGCCTAATAAACTTGTAAACATGCTTTTCATGCTCTGTGTAACTCCTGTTGTCTCTTTGCAAATGTAGTTGTACAGTCCTCGAGCAATTCAGATCCTCTTTCACAAAGAAACTAATGCTGGCAGTTCCAGTGGAGTTGTCTGAACATCAAAGAAGCTGGTGCTTGCTGGTACCAACTACAAGCCTGAGTCAAATATTTCAGTGCCCATGCATTGCTAGTCTTCATTATTTGGTAACGTGGTATCAACACACATATACCAGTCATTCTAAAACCATTGAGTACAACGTGGTGGAAATAAATTTCCAGTGTAGCATTTGCCAAAATTTAAAAGTGTCATTTCAAGGCAATGGAAAATGCACCTTCTCATTCAGGGGCGTTTTCAAACGTACCCCTGGAGAGATGGGGTATCAGAGTGCATGACTGGATGGGAGCAAACCGGCTGGTGACTTCTTGGAGCAAAATCTCGTGTGCGCTGGTATGGCTTCGTGAATCAGCCTCGGATATCTTTGTTGGTCATCTGAGGTATTGCTGTCTGTCAGCCTGCTTTTCTGCAGCGTCTGTGTCCAGGTGGAGTTGTGTTAGCTATCGCACCCTCTCCTGGAAAGGGTAGAAGTACAGTATCAACAATTAATATCAATTAGCATCAATTAATAAATACTGAGAACTTGAAAGGATAATAAAAAGCTTCCTACTCAGACATATGTGACTGAAACTATGCTGTGATGCTTTTTGTTTTGCTTTTTTACAAAGTATCTTACACAATGACATGCTTGCCTCCCTAGAGCACCCCGGTACATCTCTGATACGCTGCGTTAGCACTTGGGCTTTCACTTCTATCTGCTTCACTAGGAGCTTCTTACGTGCCTGCACCGTGGTCTGTGCTCTGCTTCAAGGCATGGTATAAATACATATACACACCAAAGCCTCGTGCAAATAGGAGGCAGGAGTCACTTCGGGGAGGAGGTATTGTGTGAGAAGAAAGAATAATTCAAAGCATTTCCGATTCCCTTTGTAGGTTGAATTATTTTTGGAGTCACAACATTAGAAACCACCGATGGCAGGGAGGATCCGTGGGGCACAATGCGGTTTTTCAGGTAGGCACAGGAGGGGCATTGCCATGTGCGGACTTGAGGCTGCTCTAGGGCTCAGTGAAGCTCCTGCATTAGGAGCAGCCAGCTCGCCTCCTCAAACTGGAGCAAGGTAGGCACCCACTCCAGCTTTTAGACCCTTGGCACCTCATCTTAGTTACTGCCTGCTGCCAGCAACACTATGGGTTGGGGTTTTTTGCCAGTGAAGTTCCCCTGGTATTGAAAATTCCTTAAGCCTCAGTAGCAAGGAACATCCGTATGCATATTGCTCTTGCACAGTGCTGTGTCCTTGCCTGTACATAGATGCCACTTAGAAAGTCCCCGTCCTTCCGTGGGCAACGGCAAGGAAAGGAAATAGGATGCCACATAGTTCAGGTTAGCTGACGGTTCAATGTAACACTGTCTTCTGGTGCCTAGTCCAGTCCAAAACCAAGAAGCTTCTACCACTCTCCTGTGAATACTGTTGCAGAAGGTAGTACAGCCATTTTGGACATTTTTCTTTTGCACTACAGCCTAAAATCTTCTTTGTTTGATGTGATGAGAAAGGTGGGTAGAAATTTCATTTACACCTTAAGTGAGGCACACAACCAGCTTTTGGTACGTTAAGGCGATGATGCTTCCGTCATGAACACAAAAGCATATTGGCTGAGAGGGCAGATGTTCAGTGGCCTCGTGCTGGAGAGAGAGGGTTTTTTAATACTAAAAAACAAGAAGGCTAACAAGCTAGAGGAAAAGTGGTCAGAGTCTGCTGTTAGTAGATTTCCATGTTAAAGTTACTTCCATGTTAAAATATGACAAGAGAGGTCCGTGAGGTATGGTTGACTCTGTGCCTCCAGGATATTTTTGAAGAACTGCACTTGATGCTTGGGCAGATTTTGGCTTTGAACTTTTGCTAGGTTTTTAAAGAACACTACACACTACAAGCAAATCTGCTGTGTTTCTTCCTGCTTCAGCATTTTGCTTTTATTTTACATTTTCTGTACAAATATTTTCAACATTTTTGTATCAAACATGAATTGCAAACTGTGTGGAATTGTTGTTCCTCCACAACAATTTTGGTGTGTAAATAGTTTTCCTCCATGTGTCTTAGATGAACATACAGTGATGTGGCTACCATAGAGAGAGTGACCAAACGATGCTGTAACTCTGCTGCTGTATTTTTACCTGTGATGTACTTGAAGGAGGATGCCCTTGTCCACCTCCACTCTCATTCTTTTTTCTTTCTCTTGATTTTTGGGGGTTTTTTTAACCATTGCTGGTGGTGTTCTTTCATAGGTGTCGTCTTTTTGGTTTGGGATTTCTTTTTATTTTAATAGCTGCCACCTTTTTCTTTCCTTCTTTGGACAAGTCATCTTGTTTTGAGATCTGTACAACTGTCTAGGTTTTATATGTCCTGAAGAATGGAGGACTTGCTGGAAGGAGATGTTTTGGACCAATGTACTTCTGCTTTGTGACTGTGAAATGTTAATCCTTTTGTAACCTAAGAACAAAAAAATGTTTAGTAAAGGGATATATTTTGTGGTTTTTGAAACTTTTCAGTGCAATGAACAAAAGAGGAGGATGCTGAAGAAGTGTATGTGCAAAGTTTTAAAATAAAATTTTAAATTATATATTATATATATCCATCTATATCTTTAACCATTATTATTCTGCCTTTGTCCTGAAAAATACCTAAGTCTCTTTGTATGTATTACGAATTGTTCAATACGGACAAGTAGCAGTCTCTGCTTTACAAGGGAACTGATGGTTCGCTGACAAAAGGTCTCACTCTTGATTTAGTGAAGTAAACCCCTATGAGGTGCATTAGCGTATGGG